AAATCGAGCGCTGAATTTCATGCATTTCTTTCAGGAACACAGCCGATGCGGTATAAGATTACTCCATTCAATGAAAAGCTGTCTTAATTGTAGAATAATTGTTAATTACGTCCAGTGCGATTCAATTTGTAGTTTTTCTTTTTCCTTGGCACTACAGCCCCAGTGGGCCTAGGCCTACCTCCATGAACTTCTCCGTCCACTTCGGTTTTTCTAGATCTTACACATTCGCTAGGACTCCTTGGGCGGGTGATCAGTTGTAGATATTTATTACCTTTAAATATTTCGGTCAGCTGACCATTTCCGGAAGGCACCACGTTCCACGTTCAGTAACTACTACTACTACTACTACTACTACTAGAATGTTCGTCATACATACTTAGAACTTTCTAACAGTTGTTCCTGAACATGTTGATCTTATGCCTTCTGAAGACGGTCAGTTGATCGAAACATGTAAAGGCAATATATATCTACAAATTGAGTCACACAGGATGGTGTTGCAACTATTCTATATTTTAGTTTACTAGTGTGACGGAGCAAAATGAATCAACTTTTTTTTTATTGCTAGTGGGGTGGGACTAAGTCCCTTGTACTGCGGCCACTTCTGGCCTATTGTACCAGCCCCAGATGATAGGTGAGGGTGATTGTGGAGCAATTGGTGGAATGAAGATTGGCAGGTGAAACCGAAGTACTCGGAGAAAACCCGCCCCAGCGCCACTTTGTCCACCACAAGTCCCACGTGACCAAACCCGGGACCGAACCCGGGCTGCCGCGATAGGAAGCCAGCGACTAACCGCTTGAGCTATGGGGCTGTCAATGAATAAACTTAGAAAAAGTTTTCTTCTCCCAATGATTTGAAATTCGGTACAAATAGTAGCTGTTGTATCTTGACATCTGGTAACTTTATCACTGGAATATTGAGAAGCACTGATATTCCTTGTTACTGCACATGGCATTTGCGTTGCACGCCGCTGTAGTATTGTTGCAGTATACTACTGTGCTGGTTCGGTGTTGAATTCTAACATAAAATAACCATTTTTAATTATCTATTAAGTGTGATTAATGTGATAAATATTAGGCGTACATTGAATTTCTTAATATTGGCAAATCTTACATTGATTGATACGTTTCTAAGTGACAGACAAAACTCAAACACAATGAAGCTGGTTCCAGTAAAGAAACTGTGGCACGTTCCAGTAAAGAAATTGTTGCACGTTACAGAAAAGAAACTGTGGCACGTTTCAGTAAAGAAACGGTGGCACCTTCCAGTAAAGAAACTGTTGCACGTTACAATAAAGAAACTGTTGCACGTTACAATAAAGAAACTGTGGCACGATGCCGTAA